TTTATAATTTCGTCTCTTCAAAAAAAGTATCAAAAAATTTCGTCTTTTAAGTAAAATAAGTCAAAAACAATTTCAATTTCAAATTTTAATTTCGTACCTTGAAATTTAAAATAATTTTGTCAATATGTATAATTTAACCACTATTAGATACATCTTGACGAGCTCTACAACTTTTAATTAGTAAATATTTATTGTTAACTTAGTAAAAAAAGTTTTAGATAGAAGATGTTACATTTCATCTATTTTTAGTTGATAGACAGATTATTAATTAATTATCTAAATTATATATTTGACATTTCCTAGCTATTCTAAAGATGTATTTAAAGATAGTCTGCTATATCAATTAAGGCTTTTTTTGTATCAGAGAGTTGCATCAAACTAGCTATTGAAGTTATATCAAAATAGCTTTATCTTATTTATAATAAAACTCTTTACAATATTAAACCAAGTATTTACTTTTCTGTTTATACTCTTCTCTTTACCAATCTCATTTTTTTTCTTTTTGACTTTTCTTTTGGTTTGTTTTTAACTTTAACTACTCTCTTTAGCATTCAAATTTACCTCCTTTATACTAATAATTAGTTTTTTGATTCTTGTTTTTTTCTTTCTTTATCTTAATATTTATTCAGTTTTTTTTTCTCATTCATTAATAAGTATACATCTTTGTTTTAAATATTCTTGTAGAAATAATTTTATACTGCATTTATTATTATATTAAAAAAGCTTCTAACTTCTTTTAGAGTTTTTACTACTTTAAAGATTTTTTTGCAATTTCTTCTTTAATTAGTTCTTTAAATATACTAACTTTTATTTTATTTTTCTTTTTTTTTATTGAATTTTATAAAGTGTTTTTAAATTGAGTTTTGTCAAAACAACTACAGGTTTCTTTTAAGAAGACTATCTAAATCAAGTTTAATAAGATTTTGAAATATATACTAAGGGGTAAGATTTTATAAAAATTACTAAATATAAAAAGATCTGCAAGAAAAATAGCAAAAATAAGCAAACTAATTACTATAAATAAAAATAATCTGTATAAAAAAGGTCAAAAATAAGCAAACTCTAATTTGATCTATCTATATATATTTTAGAAACTTAGTTTAATGCTAGCTGCTCTGCTTTTTTTACTTTGTTTTTGTACTTCTTACAAGTAATTAGATATTCTTGATTTTTTTCTTTATCTCTTATATATATTATATATATTAAATTATTATATAAATTCAGTTTTCTAGTTGTTAAAGTTTTAAAACTAGAAGCTTCTTATATAAACATTTAATTAACACTTTTAACTATTTATTTTTTTTTAAACTTATGCATCTAATTTTATTTGGCATCTAATTTTATTTGGCATCTAATTTTATTTGGCATCTAATTTTATTTGGCATCTAATTTTATTTGGCATCTAATTTTTTTTATAAAATAGATCAGTATTAAATTTGTTTATTATTATTGAGTTCTATTTTCTTTATCACTAATATAAATTTTCATTCTATTCCTGTTTTAAGTTTAAGCATCATTTGTCAGGGATAGCAAATAATCTGTAATGACCCAAATGATCCAAATAACAAATGACTAGTCATTTGTCATTTCAAAGCCTAAATGATCTTAGAAGGTCATTTAACATATGTTAGTTAATATTCTAATACCTTTTAACCAATTAGAATTGGCCAAAAAACAAATTAAATTTTATTAAAAATATAATCAATAATCGTAGCTATATATCAAATCAAAATTTTACTAAATTATGCCTTAAATAAAGTCATTTAGGATAATAAAATTACATGTGCTCTGAAATATTTGTAAATTGAATAACATTTTATTAATTTACTTCCACATCTTATGTTTATATAAAAAGATTTTAAAAATTTTTATATAAACGTAAGATACAAAAGTGAATTAATAAAAAGGTATTCAATTTCATGAAAATTTTCAAAATTCACATAATTTATGATCTCGATCAGCTTTAATATATAGCTACGATTATCAATTAGAATAGTAATAAAGATCAATAACTTTTTTATGAGTAATTCAACCAATAAAACTGCTTTATATGCAAATGACCCAAATGACCTAGTGACCCAAATGACCTGGTCATTATTTGATGACTTGAGGTCATTTAAATTTTGATCAAATGACCAGGTCATTTACCATCTCTGTCATTTGTAAATATTTTCTAATAAAGTCTTTTACTATTATTTCTTCTTAGCATAAAGTGATGCTTGATTCTTGAGAAGGTTTCTTTATAATTTTCTCTTTATTTACTATTCTAAATCCTATCTTTGCTAATTTATTTGGCATCTATTTTTATTATAACCCTTTATTTTTTCTAATTCTAACTATATTTTCTTTACTTTGCTATATTTAAAATATATTTTATCAGATCATAATTTCTTTTTTTTAGCTTTTTTTTTATTGATTTATTCCAGTTTCTTTTTTCAGTCTAGCTAATACTATTGCACTATCTATATAGATTTAAGTCTTTCTTTTTTTAGATGTGATTAAAAACATATACTAAATTTTAATAGTTTTACTTTTGTTAAAGATGGTCAATTCCTTGTTTCAAGATATTCTTTATCAATAATTTCTTTCTTTTCTTTATTTATCTGAACCCAATTTGCTTTTATTTTATCTGACTCTGCTTGGATTAATTTTTTGTTTTTCTTTAAAAAACCATTAATATAAAATGTGAATTAAGTTAAAAAGTTATATTATAATCTTTGATTCTTTTCTATTAAATAGGTTTGTATAGTTAGGCTGATTTGCTGCTTTTTATAATTTCTGTAGTCAAGTTATAAATATGAATATTTTGTATTATTTTCTCATTTATGAAAATCTTTAATTTATAATAATTTAATAAAGAGAATAGTATTTCTTAATAAATTTTAAAAATATTTCCTTTCTATTTATCTATAAGTTTTGTTATAGAGCTTTAAATTTTCTCTTTGCTTAGTTAGCTTTTATAAGAGTTTTTTTCTTTTTTTTGGTTGAGTTCATATCTTTTATATCTTTCTAATTTTATACTTTTTGTATCTGTATTTTTACTTATTTTTAATACTTTATGAAGATTCTCTTCTTTAATTTGTTGAAAGTTTATCTAATTTTTGAATATTTATTTTTTTGCTTCTTTAGCTTTAATTAAAATCTATTTTTTTCTTTTATTTGCCTTTAATAAGTTTGGTATAACTTGGAGTATCTAAGAGCTGAAGCTTTTTAATCTATACTTCAACTTAATTAATTTACTTTCTTTATTTTCTATTATTATTTTATTAATTGTTTAAAACTATTTTATATTTTTCTTTTTACTTGACTTATTTTTTAGCATTTTAAGTTCCTGTTATGTTATTATATAATTTTTTAACTGTGTTAACAGTTGTTTAAGTAATATTATATTAAGTTTCTAAGCATTATTGCTACTGATAAAGTAAATTTTTTCTTTAAAATATTAGTTAGTCTAAATTTTCCATCTTTTGTTTTTAGTTTTGTATTGCTAAATTTGAATATAATTTTTAGTTCTTTAGTCTTTAATATTGTTAAATAAACTAGGTTGTTTTTTTAAAGATGTATACAGATCTTTGACAGTTCTTTAAATTAGATATTTTTAGCTACTTTTAATAATTGTATACTTTAGTTTATTTTTAATAATATTAAAATTTTTTTTAGATCTTCTGTATTTAGTTATAAATATAAACTAAATATTTGTATTTTAGTTTCTTATTTTGCTTCTTAATAAGTGAATAATGCTAATTAATAAATAAAAAAAAAGTTCTTAATAAGTTAAAAATTTAAAAAAAAGTCAAGTATTACTAAGATAAATCATATTTTTATAATACTGTAGTTGGATTAATAAAAATTATAAATAAAAATTTATAAAGTTTTTAAATAATTTAATTCTAAATAAACAAAGGCAGACAGCTAAATTAAAAAAAAATTATTACACAATACAAAATATATTATATTATTAGTTATATAATATTATATATATTTATATTTACTATATGTTGTATTTTAATACAATTTAATATTATAAATACTATTACTATATATTGTATATATTTTATAGCTAGCTTTAAAAAATACAGCTTTAAAAGTTTGATTAACCAAAAAACTGTTTTTTTAAAATAATGTAAATATAATAATATAATATTGTATAATTATTTGATTTATTATAAAAATTTTTAATAACAAATTTTTTTTTAATATACCAAAAAAACTTTTTTTATACAATATAATTAATTTTTAACAATATACAGTATATTAATTAACTTTTTTTTATACAATCAAATAATTATTAACAGTTAATTAAAACTTAATTAAAACTTATTTTAGATCCATACTCATGACATAATTGTAAAACTTTGAAATGATAAGTGGATGTTTACGTAAGATTACAAATTTCAAAAATACAGGTAAAAAAAAAAAAATTTAATTGAATCAATTAAAAACCAGTTTATACAAGAAATTTGACGATTTGAATATTTTTGCAATGGTGAAATATTTTAACTCACTTGAGATAGACGCAATTGACGAATAATGGAAAAGGGAATTTGAGGAGAATATTATTGGGAAATTGAGGAGAATATTATTCGAAGACGCAATAATACGTACGTACGTACGCGTTATGCAAAAAAGTTCATTGTACAATTTAGATATTAAGTTAAAGTTAGTGTAAAAAGTACATATGTGCATCATATGCATGAACCAACGAATCCGCGGTCCGTATCACAAATTTCCTTGTGGAGAATAAATTGGGTCAAGTGTGAAAGTAAAGATAACTTAAAAGCTTTTAATGTAATAGTTTAATGTAATAGTTTAAAATTGGTTTAAAACGGTCATCATAATCATTTTATTTTTCAAATTTATACAATAAAATGGGTAAAGAATTCAATGGCACCGGATTAATGGATGCAAGACTCCGATAAATTATATGTATTAATTTTCTGCACAATAATTCACACAAAACAGGTAAAGTGGATACATGATAAATTTTATTGGTAGAAATTTTATGTCTATATTATTCCGTGTTTTTTTTGCGCCGGTGTAATCTTAACGTTATAACTAATTACTTTATGCATGATGAATTGTACAAATACAATATACAGTATATATAATAAAATATAAATAAAATATATTTATTATTAATTATCATGTATACGATTTAATGCATTGTAAGAACCTATATAGTGAGTGTTTGGGGTTTAAGATAATTAAAAGATAACCTTTTACCAAGACGATTAGTTATAAAAAGAAATTAATTAAATGTATTACGAGAATATGAAGATATAAAGAAGGAACAGTTTGTACACAATTTCGAGCACTAGTACAAATAATTTATGGTATACATATTATATATACAATTATATATATACAATTATATATACAATTATCTGCAATTATCTGCAATTATACATAGTTGTACGTACGTGGTTATACACGGTTATACACACAGTTATACACGGTTATACGCAGTTATATACAATTATTATTATATACAGCTATATACAATTATACAATTTATAGTAATAATCTATAGTTGCACAGAATATACAAGAATCGAATCATTATAAGAATATAAAGATTATAAAGATTATAAAGATTATAAAGATAATAAAGGCAACATTCGTCAGCATTCGTATGTTTGCATATTCGTTAGTTAAATTTGTTAAAACAAATAAGAAAGTCATTACCATAATAACAACCAAACAGTGAATGCAAACCACCATACGATAAAGTTTATGCAAATATTTTAAAATAATTTTAAAATATTTTAAAAATAATTTTAAAATATAGTTTCGTTTTACATTTTACATCGATGTTTTTTTTTAAATTAGCATATATAAAAAACCGAATGTGGTTTCAAAAAAAGATTCATTATATAAATGCGTAACAATATACCTTACCTGGTGAAGAATCCACGAAAATTGACTTGTATAAATAAGTTAATTGTTAATTCCAAGTATGGAAAATAACGAAGCACGCGAATTTTAAATAAATGATGACAAATCAATAAAGAATAAGGAGTGTTGGTTTTAGATTTAGTATTATGTCATAATCGATAGCGTACAATAGGTGTTTTCATGCATATAGTCATTCACAAGTGCATAAATCATTTTTCTAAAATATATGAATATATATGAATATATATGAATATATATGAATATATATGAATATACATGAATATATATATGAATATATATGAATATAGGTAGGCAAACTGATATACATGAATATTCTTTGTATATAGTTCAGTATATAGTTAGAAAATCGTTCATAAATGCATGTGACTAATGTAACTAATAACCGTACTTTAAAGTAGGGTTTGCATTTTACACATTTTTTTAATTCAATTGAGTTTTTTGGTAAGTTTATTAATTTATTCAAATTTATTTCAAATTTATTTCATATTTATTTCATATTTATTCCAAATTAATTCCAAATTTATTCAAATTAAATTTATTAAAGTTATTCAAATTTATTCAAATTTATTGCAAATTTATCTCGTGATTTATTCCGACGCGTTCCGGTAAAAAACGAAAATCGCGAACAAAATTTAGTCATCTATAATTCGTCATGTATTAGTATGCGTAGGCACAATTTTATCATTAACCAAAATTTTTTGATACACAATTACATAGAGAATTTTCCATTTGTATTTCCCAAATTTAGATTAGAAAATTGATTGATGAAAATTTTCCATTAGAAATAACCATCAATTTCATCAATTTAAATTTGATACATCATTATCCGGGTAACATACGTACTTAGAAACAAATTATCTTGATGAAATATATATATCTGATATATCAATATATATTGAAGCGTTTCATACGTACCTGCAGACAAATTGTAAACAAGGGCAGTAACACAACACAAAATTCTTTGTTTTTTTTTTCTTTGTTAAACAAACATGCAAGTAGTTTTTACGCATTCAAAAAGTCTTTGAAATCTTCGATAAACTTCCAAACAAAAACTTACAAAAACTCTTACTAAATATTACGCAATATTACGCAACCTTACACAAAGCAATGATTATGTAACCACATTTTTCATAAGATAACAATGTGAGGTAAAAAAAGAAACCTGCGGGGAAGCATTATCGTTATTATTTTTTAAAAAAAAATTAATTCGGTTCTGATACAGAATAATGGATGCATATACGCATAATGAAGGGGCATATATGGAATAATTTGTATGTAAAAATTATATATGTAACTTATATATGTAACTTATATTTGTAAATTATTTGTAAATAAAAACTTTGCAAGTCCAGTAGGCATGCATCCGGTAAAGGCCGTACTACTGTGAGATACGGCAAGGTTATTGTAAGCAACTTATGTAATCTGCTTCAACATGTTTTTTTTTTCATGGATACACTAAATTCTTATAACCACGTGATTGATTCTTTGCCAAATTTTCGAATGGTTTATTTGTATTAGCTATAAACCAGAGGTATTGCAGGTATTGCAGGTATTGCAGAGATATTGCAGAGATTTTGCAGATATTGCAGAGATTTTGCAGAGATATTGCAGAGATTTTGCGTGAGAAAATTTACAATTAACATCCAAAAAAAAAAAAAGATCAGAACATTAAAAAAAAAAGAAAAATTAGTAAAATTAAGAAGAAGAAAAAAAAAAGGAAAATATACTATGTTACATGCGAAACTCGTAAAAATTTTTTCTTATATTTTTGTGAATGTGTGAATTGTTGTATTGTAAATGCTATTGGAAATTTTTTTTTTTAGGTGTAGGTGTATTATTATACAAGAAAAAAATATATTGTAAAGAAATATATTTTAAAGAATATATTTTAAGGTTTAAATTAAGAAATATTATTGTAAAATAAACATTAACAACTACTTTTAATAAACACTGTAAAAAAAAATTAAGAGAAACCAATGTCCACAAAATTAAAGTATATATAATTTTCTTATTAATGTATTTTTGAATATCAACTCACTTGATTTTTCAAGTGTATATATGAAAAAATTAGGCTGTTTGAAACCATGATACATTTTCTGTTTGCATCATCATATCATGAGTTTGAGATGCAACAATTACTGGATCAACTACCGATCCTGCAGGAGATCCTACTCCACTATGTGAATAAGGTGAATCATGTTCTGGTGATTGATGACCCGATGGCGATGTTGTTGATGCTGGTGTACTTATACTTAATGGACTTCCTCCATTATTTGTCCACATTTGTTGCGAAGCTGTTGTATTCGGCCATATGTATAGTGAATTCGCATCCCAGAATGTATGATTTGATTCAAGACAACTCACATCAAGTTGTTTTGTGCCATTCAATGGTAATAATGAATTATATTGATGTGATGTTGGCACCTGAATCGGTGCGGAAAGACCCATTGAATTGATGGATGGATTCATGGATGGATTCATAGATGGGTTCATAGATGGATTCATAGATTGATTGATAGATGGGCTGATGGATGGATTAATGGTTTGGTTAATGGTTTGGTTAATGGTTTGGTTAATGGATGGGTTAATGGACTGATTAATGGATGGGTTGATGGTTTGGTTTATGGATGAGTTGATAGATGGATTAATAGATGGGTTGATAGATTGATTAATAGATGGATTGATAGATGAATTTATGGAAGGATTTATGGTTGAATTAATAGAAGAAGAAATCAATGATCCACCATCTACCGAATTATGTGAAGGAAGGAATTCGAAAGGTTGGTTTTGTTCCGGGGTAAAGAAATGTTGATCAGAACCTTCAGCCAATAAATACAATGGACGTTCATTAAAACGTGGAGGAGAAGAGGATTGTGGAAATTGAGAAAAATTATCCGGAAGATTATTTGGAAGATTATTTGGAAGATTATTTGGAAGATTATTTGGAATAAAATGTTGACCGGAATCTGTCATCATCATTCCTTGAGTATTTGGAGTTGTTGTTCTCTTTATAGGAAGTCTTTGTCTATTCATGTGACCATTAACGGGCGAATCCGGATGTGATCCAGGGTGAAATAATAAACCATGTGATTGACGCGCTCTTTGAGTGGTGAAAGCAGCTTCCAAACCATGAACTTTATCTCTCAATTCCCAAGCAGAACTATGATCAACGCAAACCTTGAGAACACTCAAAGTACTTAATAGATGATCATGAGCAGGTTTAGAAAAACGTAAATCAGGAGATGACATATTGACAAGATGAATCATGGAAGCAGCAACCATACAATAAACACCATAGTTTCCTCCGCGGATAGGAAATTGAAATACAAGGGGACCCCATTGACCATGGGCCATTCTCACGATTGAAGAAATAGTATTTGCAGCTACGGTACAAATATTTAAGTGATTAGGATTTGTGTGAGAAATTTTTCCATTTTCGATAGTCGATATATAAGGGCGATGAAGCAAAATGACAACAGTATGATATAAAATGTTGATAAAACAAGCAAAATGAGAAGTTTGAGGAGCAACACCATTATTATTTTCTATTAATTGTTGATATCTAAGTCCAGGTGGAAGAGCTTGTAACCAAGCATCTAATGCAGTATCTAAAGTTTGAAATTTTGGATTTGATGACCAAGCTTGTAACGAATTGCCAGAACCTGCTGAAGCGATTGTCGACAACACACTTGATAGAATTTTAATAAGACGGACGAAATGAACAAATTCAGTTTGAATTTGAAATTCTTGTTCGTCATCGAAATCACTTTTTAAGGGGAGGTCAATATCTGTATTTGACAAGAATATGGCAGTATCTCGACCTAAATACGTAGAAATGATATTAGTGTTATTAGTGTTATTAGTGATATTAGATTTAAATAATTATAATAATTTAAATATTATAAATAATTATAATAATTTAAATAATTATAAATAATTATAACAATTTAAATAATTATAAATAATTATAATAATTTAAAATAATTATAATTTTAATTAAAATAATTACCCTGCGCACCACCCATTAATTGATCGTAAATAAAGCAAGTTTGCCATACACGTTTTCTAATAATCATGTCTTCTCTACTGATTTCTAAATTCCACTTTTCAAAGTTTTTTTCTAGATCTAAATCTTGTGCCATACGAAGAATGATACCAAAATATACCCAACTTCTAAAGAAGAATCCAGGTCGACGTACACCTTCTTGAAATTTTAACAATAAAAGTTGTGCTTGTATTGTAGATAATCGAGGAGCATCAAAGAAATCATCTAGTAAATCTAATTTTTAAATAATAAATAAATAAATAAATTAGTATTATATTTAAATAGTATTAAATCAATTGAATAAAATTAATATTAAATAAATCATACCTCTGGCTCTGTTAAAATAAATGTAACCAGCAGTTTCAGGTTTCAAAGGATCAAGACGAACTACGGGGTCATCAGAAAATTTAGCACCCATAGCAAGTACGGAATAGAATAATAAAGGAGAAATAGGATTATTCTTGTCATTAAGACGTCGTATAAAATCATTCTTGTTCAATATTGGGACGTATGGATGAACGTTGGCAAAATAAAGACCAACCAAACTTTGAATTATTTCGGGTGTAGGATAACCATTTTCCGAATAATTGTCGCATGGTAATGGTGGTTCTGTATAGATACCACCATCTTTTTTGAGCATCATTCCTTCTAAAGAATGAATATAATTTGCTCTACCAGTGTATGCTATTTTCATGTGGCCCATGACATCAGTTAATGAGTCAACATAATCAACACCATTTATTGCTGAAGAAAAAAAATAAAATTAGATAAAAGATATTTATATATATATATATATATATATATATATATATATATATATATATGTATATTTGATATATATGTGATATATTTAATGATATACAGTATTTAATGATATATATAACGAAAACATACTTTTTCTTGCCTTAACATCATCTTCATCAAGTTTATGCAGTAAACTTTCAGATCGTTGCAATCTTTCATCCATTTGTTCTTGTTCAGTTTTGGGAGCGGTTCTTTTCATGGCCATATTTGAAAAGATACAATCGATTTTTAATTTTCTACAACTTGAGCAAGGAGTTTGAGAACCACCAGATCCACCGTCACATTTAACTTTTCTTCTTCGGCATGACTCGCATGCACGTGTGACTTTTAAACGTTTATATCTATGCAAGTCGTCAACGAAAACATATTCCATCATATTTATTGTATTGGTGAAGATTAGCTATAAAAGTAGCTATAAAAAGTAGCTATAAAATATTGAAAAATATATTATCGTTGATATGAAGAATAGAAAGTTTCTTAATATATATGCGTGTTCTAATACAAGGCGAAGGTAATAAAAAGTAAAGGTGTATATATCTGTATCTGTATTATCTGTATTATCTGTATTATCAGTATTATCTGTATTAACTGTATATTGAGTATAGGACAGTTAATTAGATAACACCTTTTTCTTTTCCTTTTTTCTTTCTTTTTTTGATATTACTAAGCAAAGGACTCTCAATACCCAATATAAATGCCTATAAAATAGGAATAAAAATGCAAATAAATGCGAATAAATGCTAATAAATCAGAGTAGAAACGAACAAGGCAGAGAAAATGGGTTCAAGAAGCAGGTGAGCCAAAAAAAAATTGAATGATAGAAAAAGTAATATATATAAATGTATATTATATACATATATATTAAAATAAAGTGTGAACGGGAATTCTTGAACCTTTTATAGGTCAGTTTGATTCTACTTTTTTTTGCCTGATAAATGCAAATCGAACACGATTTTATTGTGAAAGGAGGTATTTGGGGAAGTTGGAGATAACAGAGTTTTTATATCTTAGATGAACATTGACTGAAATGGTTCAAATGTGATGTATCTGGTTTAACATATTTTAGTATAATGGCAATGTCGTACATGTAAAACAACTTTTATTTCTGTAAAGAGAAATTTTGAATTTTAGACTTTGAATAAAGTTTGGGTTAATCGATTAAATAAAAAAAATTTTTTTTTTATATACATCTGCTTTTAGAAATACTATTTTGCATACATTAATAAAAAATAGAAATATGTAGGTATATAAAATAGACGCATATACATTATGATTAATAATATATCGATATATATATTTAATATCGATATATGTTACTATAAATCTTGTGTCACATGATGAACGTGTCATATGAGGTTAAAAAAAAATATATATAATATATAAATAAAACTTGTTTCTAGCGGTTGAACCTAAACTATATTTAACATAACATCGTCGGACAATTTCAACATGTTGTAACTAGCAAAAAGGTGGGGTCTGGAGGTACAGTTTGATAGTCCAGGTATGAGAATTATCGTGTGTAAGAGAAAAAAAAAACAAGTCTGTATTATGTCATGGCAGTGCTCGTGTCATTACTTTAATATGCAAATGAAAACATTAAATGCATATTTTTTTAAAAAAAACTCTATTCTCGAAGGTGGATGAGAATTGGCTTGAAACAGCAAATGTTTCTCTTGCTATTTAATGTCAATATTTCTAAGGCGTTATACAAATTTCAGAAAATTTCAGAATTTGAAGAAGATTGTACTACAGTTTATTATACTTGAATAATTTGAATAACTTAAATAACTTGAATAGCTTAAATAGTAACTAAAGATATTTAAGATACTATCGTAATATACCGTAGCAACGTAAGAATATCAAATAATAGAATAATATGGCGTATGGAAATATTCTAATTTCTACACTCGTAGTCGAGCAGTACTTCCATACCATACTATATGAGGGAAATAAGTATATGCGGTGGAACTGGCCTAGATTTTTGTTAAATTGATTTCCATTGTGTGATCATTTGTTGAAAAATTTTATCATTAGGGGTAAACGCTAACAGTCAATCGTTGAAATTTTGAAAAAAAAATTTCCATCGAGAGAACTAGCGTCATGCAGCTAATGGGAGACTAAGAAGCATTTACATGCATGTAAGATATATTGCGTTTGTTAGATTTTATTTATTTTCATTTATTTTTTGATTTTTATTTTTTTTTATTTTTTTATTTATTTATTTTATTGTATTTATTATTATTATTATTATTGTAGAGGTTTTATACGGTTATTAAAATTGTTAAAGGTGAAGTTTTTGACTTATTTTTTAAATGCAGAAAAAGAAAAACTAAAGATAATGAAGATAATGAAAATAATGAAGATAAAGATAATAAAGATAATAAAGATAATAAAAGATCGTAAAGATAATAAGTTAATAATAAAGGTAATTGCATGATTTTAGGAATCATGAGAATTTTAAGAGTCTTGGGGAATTTTTAGGAATTTAGGGAATTTTAGGAATTTAGGAGTCTTGGGAGTACTAAAGGTGTCGATAAAACATGCATGATCGATGAACCTCAAAAATCATGATGCTCATACAGCATGCTTCATTTATTAATTTAATTATTAATTTTATTAATTATGAATTATATACGAATAGACGAGATAATTAAGATTATTAATAGATCTTTTCCTTTATACAATAATAGAGTAGATTATTAATTACAGGATTATAGGATTACAGAATTACAGGATTATATGATTACAGGATTAATTGTGGAAGAGAAGGCATTCCCGATTTTTTGGCGGTCAGACCACATCATGTGATATAAACAGAGATCGCAGATTTATTTATTTATTTATTTATTTATTTATGTTTACTATCAACAATCCTGCAGTTTATAACTATGAATTATGAATCGATAGATAATAATACAAAAAAAAAAAAAAAAAAAAAAAAAATCTAGCATACATTTAGCATATTTAGCATATATTTAGCATATATTTAATGGTCATTTAAGTTTGGGTGTGGATTACCCACGCTATAAAAGGCAACCTTTCTCATAAAACATAAATCAAACCAATTATATTCAATTTCTTCTTTCTCTGTAGAAATCGCTACTGCTGACAATTTACTGTCTCGTTTTCGTTCGTCAATGTAAAATGCCTAATTTATTTATTATTTATTTATAATTAAATCAGATTTATTCCATTTTCCGATCTTCGTTGGCGATATGTTGGTGATGTTGGTGATGTTGGTGACGCAATAGATAAGCTACTCTTGCTTCTTTCATTTTGGTATACCAGTAACATTTAACCGATCAAATCTCTGTCAAACCCTTGTTTCTGACAATATCATCGTAATCTTCTTTTTGCAATGATATATTCTCATGATTAGCCATTAATTAACGCCAATCAATCATTAAATATCATTGTCCAGGAGCATTATCGATCTTATTCATTCATATTTCATGATTTTGTGTGATATTTTATGATTTTGTTAAATGTATACGTACACATGTGCTGCATCCACTCAATGTTAATTCATGATCATAGAAAATTAAATTAACTTTAATTACTTTACGATTGCACATTCATATTTTCTCCACAATCATCACTGCATAATTAATAATTAAAGAACATTCTTTAACTTGTTTATCTCGTTTATTAGGAAAATCTGAATATCTCACTATATTTATTCGTATGCTTCATCGTTATATATACTATATATACTATATATACTTGTATACAGTGCATACTGTGTTAGAGATTCTACTTATTAATTACGCATTAGTTACTCGTTAGTTACTCATTAGTTACTCATGAGTTACTTCTTTAGCTACTATATATTTAGTTACCTTAGTTACTCATTAGTTACTCTTTAGTTACTCTTTAGTTACTCTTTAGTTACCTTAGTTACTCATTAGTTACCCATTAGTTACTCATTAGTCGTAAATCCAATACAAAATTAATCATCTATTATTTAAAATGTGATCGATTATCTAATGCATGTGCCTAAAATCCATGATCAATTGATTTTCAATCATTAACTATTATTAACTAATTGTTTTTAATTGATTCTCATTCTATCTATTCTATCTATTCTACTTTTATTCTTTTAGACTCTTTTTAGATAATATAAAGAACCAAAAATGGAAAGTCTTTCTCCTTAATTACGCCCCTTCTTTTACTTGGTGCATTAGTGTATTAATAACTAATCAAACTTATTTATCTTCAAACTTATCAAACTTATATATCTTCAAACTTACCTATCTTCAAACTCCAGATTTTATTTATCTTCAAACTTGTTATCCTTAAAATTAATTTTACTTGTCATTATATTTACTTATCACTAAACTTATTTATCATTAAACTTCTTATCATTTAATTTATCATTAACTTTATCTATACTTAAATTTTCTCGACAACATGCGTTGAGCCCCCAGCCTTTCTTTCATTAATTATGTTTATCCCACGTGATTTTCAAGTTGCACTCTCAATTATATATATTTATATAAGCATGCCACATGATTTTTCTTACTTTGTTCACCGCCATAAAAGTATATATAAATCTAATAAGAACACTTTTACTGCTAGAGATGATCACGATTAAACAAGTCGAGACTTGACTCGTTCGCACTTTTGTTTGATCTTATATTAAGTGTACTCGCTTAGTATCATCCCTGAGTCGACTTGCTTAGTATCATCCCCGAGTCGACTTGCTTAGTATCATCCCTGAGTCGACTTGATTAAATTTGATCGTGTCCATCCCTAGTTACTATAGTAGTTACTATAGTTACTACCAAATTTCTCAAAGTACAACCTCCATTTACATTTAGAGCATTTAGAGTAACATTTAGAGCATTTAGAGTATTTAAAGCATGTATAATACGTAGCATGTATTATTGCATATATGATAGCATGTATGATAGCATGTATGATAGCATGTATGATAGCATGTATGATAAATTTAACTATATATGCACTTTTATGTACTAATTATGTGCTTATTATGTGCTTATTATGTGCTTATTATGTACTTGAGATCTATCACTTCAAAAATAATTGATTCGTTAGATTCATGCAGTTATAATTACTTTATATTGCCACGCGTAAAAATGCAAAAAAAAACTCTCTTTTCGATGCAAATCATTTGATAACAAATAGAAGCAATTCACAATATATGCATATATGCATTTATTCGGAACACTCAAGTAGTATTTATTACCTGAATAGTTCATATCTATTGAGTAAGAGTAGCATTTATTAAGATCTATTAATTCTATTAATTCTATTAATAATTCGTATCTATTGATTTGTAATGCAGCCTAGTTTCTATTTATGATCTTTTTTTTTACAGTTATTTACTTTTATACATTCGCATTCATACATTCG